GGGGAGGAGGCGGAAATTTTTTTTTCAATAAAAAATTATAATAAAAAAAAAACCCTAAAACAGAAGTTGGTCCCAGGGACTTGGGTATTGCTGTGCTAGTTCTAATCACGCTTTTGTTTAGAATAATAAGGTATTTGACTCTTTGGCTTAAGAAAAGGACAGAATGCATTTCGCACTGCATACAGGATCGTACTAGGAAGAGCATGGGGGAGAGTGACCTTGATAATGATGTGAAATATCGGGAGCCAGCTCAAGAAGTTTCAGAGAAGAATTTTAGTATGTTCTTTATGAATGGTTCTTTTGATATTTTGGTGAAGAAAATGACTTGGTTCAAAGAATCTGCCTGAGGCTAATGTAAAGAGAGTTTGATTAATTCCGTTGGTGAAGAATTACTTACACAGCCTTAGATAGACTCTGCCGAGTGGATATTAGTGGTAACTCTACTGAAGATACTTAATGAAAAGAGCAACTGAGCAAGGAATCTTACTTCAGTAGATAAGGGCCCCCCAAAGTGGAATGTATCTTATTCTTTTGCTCAAGGACATAAACAGATTAAGAAAGAGAATTAAAGGGATTGGTGGCCTGAGGAGTTGGCGGCACATTGACTTTAACCCTAGCACTCAGACTGTAGAGGCCTGCACACTTCTGTTAGTTCAGGGACAGCTTAGTTCACAGATCAAGTTTCCCAACAGCCAAGCTACAGTGAAAGACAGAGCTAGTGAAGATAGAATTAAACAAGGTGCCATGTTCCAACCCCAGTAAGCAGCAGAACCTGACAGCTTGGGACACATGGTTCTGGTTTAAGTTAAGAATGAAAGAAAGGCATTTAATCCTCTGCTTCTGGTTAGCCTGGGCTGAAGAATCAGCTGTGATGAGCAAGTTATCAGAAGTATTTAAGCGAAATATTGCTCTGCTGGGTACTTAATGCTGGACAGCTAGAGCCAAAAATTTAATTATGATTACGAGACCAGCATCAGTGATGCGAAAATGTCTGGGAAGTGTTTACTGAGATCACAGAGAAGCTGTCTTCCAGAGGTAGTCAAAGTTGTGCCTCATGCTGGTAGATGGATTTTATAATGTGTCTCACCCAGGTGGTATTGGTTTTGAAGTTATTGATGGATGTAAGACTTGGCACTGTGAGAGGCCAGGAAAGGACATCACTGAAGGTGCAGTCTCATTGGCAGTTGAATGCACAGGACTGTAAGTGACATGCCAAGAGGTGGGGCACCCTGAGGAAATTCTATGAGAAAGTACTGGTGAAAGTGAAGCTCGGTTGCAACAGAAGACCCCAGTGTTATGAAGAGGCCAGCAGTGTGAGATGACCACCAAAACAGCAGTGACAGTGGAATTGAGCCAGCCAGAGTCTAGAAGACTAGATATGTGTACTGCAGAGGGCAGAGTCAGTGTATTGACTCAGAGCCTATGGTTGATTGGATCTTAATATTGGAATGTTGGAATTCTTTAATTACTCAGATGTTAGAGATCTGAGGGTCACAGGTTACCTGCCAAGGAGAGCTACTAATCAGAAATGAATCTATCCCAAGAAAAAGAAGTGTGCTATTCTCAACAATGCTGACGAGGATTGGAGACCTGGAGGGCTATTGGTCATGGAATTAGGTATCATTACATTGACTTTTTTCTTTGTTATTTGTACTTGGTCCCAGCCTAGTTCTCTGAACCATCCAACTTCTGGATCCTGCCAATATAGGTGCTCTTCCAAGCCAGAATGGGCATCAATTTGGGCCAATCATTGGTTAGCCACTACACAAATCTTGAGCCACCATTTTCCTGATATATCTTCCATACACAACAAGTGTGTGTCAAATATTTTGTAGATGGCTGGGAGCCATATGTGTACACAGAAGATGGCCAGTACAGGCTCCATATTTCTGAGTTAAGGATTCCTCACTATTATCACCCTTAAAGATTGCAGAAAGTTGTTACTGCACTGCTTCAACATCAACCATTGAGAGCTTTCCTATTTAGGAATTTTTTGCTGTGTTTTCTACCTCCATACTTCCATTTACTCCCATGATCCTTCCTGTTCTTGCTCTGTGTACTCCCACAAAATCTAGTCTATTTAATAGAATTTTTGGGATCCATGCACCCCTTGCTACAGCCATCTGTGACACTTACCCTATATGGGTCTGTGGATTGTACTGTCATCAGTTTTTATTCATCAGCTGATATCCACTTGCAATGAGTACAGATCAGTTTGTCTATGTAGTTTGGGGTTACTTGCTCAGAAACAAAGAACTCAAGAAGCAACACAACAAAACATTAATTCAAAAAAATGTGGTACAGATTTAAACAAGGAGTTCCAAATAGATCTACCTGAAGTGTCTTAGAAACACTTAACTAAATGTTTAATATACTTAGCCACCAATAAAATTTATATCAAAAGAGCATTTAGAATTCACCTGATACCTGTCAGAATAGCTGGGTTCAATAACACAAGGCACAATTCATGCTGGCAAGAAAGTTGAGTAAGAAGAACATTCCTCCATTGCTGCTGGGAATGCAAACCTGTATAGCCACTATGAAAACCAATATGGCAGTTCCTCATATAATTGGGAATCTATCTACCTTAAGACTCAGATAAACCACTCTGGTAATTTGAATGTAGTTAGACCCAATAATCTTCTAAGGAGTGAGTGGCAGTATTAAGTGAGCCTTTATTGGGCTGGGTTATGGCCAATCAAGTCAATATCATGATTCTTATAAGAGACTTCACTTTGTAACACTTGAGGAACTGTTCCAGCCTATGACAATCTTTGAAGTTAAACTAAATACGTTTTTATCATGGGATGACTATGGATATTTACGGATCAGGGTCAGAATGGACTTGATTGAAGGAAAAGGTTCCAGATTAGAAGTGGTTGAACACTTGTCTCTCTGAGGTGCTCTTCTTTGTTGTATTTGTGGAACATTTAGTAGAAGAAATCTTTTGGATGAAATACCCATATTAGGGATTGTATTTACATGTTATAGCCTCAACCCATCTCTGGTTATGTGGGTCTTAATGTATGACTTTGCTGCCATTATAAATTTTATCACTTAATGACAAAACTTCAGTTGAAGCAATTGCTATTCACATTTAAGCCTTTTGCTATCCTGATTTCTATCAGTTTTTTCTTTTTCCTTCTGTTGTTGAAATAATATTTTTCTGTGTAGCTCTGGGTACTGAATGTAGCTCCTGAGACCATGCTGTCCTTACTCACAAATACAAATGATCTTGGCTTCTGCACAGAAGGAATTAATGGTGGAACAACATATTTGTTTGTTTGTGTTCATGTGTGTGGTTGTGTGTGTATGTATTGTTTTATTTTCTGAAGAGCCTGGAATGTAGGTTTTTATACATTTCAATGATACTCTTCTATGCTGGACTGTTGCTGAAGCTCCTTCCACTCCTTCAGCCAATAGCCACTGAGATAACAGCCCATTAGGGCGTGGTCTCTCTCCCTTTAAAAAAGCAGGCCCCTTCCCTCAGCTTGCTTTCTGGCTTCCTCCTCTGTTTCTCCCGATTTTCTCCCTTCCTGATTTCACAGAGGGTTGTTGTCTGGACAGTGATCTGTAAGTTTTCCCCCCTTAAATAAATAACCATTCTATTAATCATAATTCCAAACTGTTGTGGGTTTGTCACTATTTCTGTAATGTTTTCTCAGTAGTGTTGATCTGATTGCTTCCCTGAGTCTTTATACTTGTTTATTGGCATTTCTTTTTTAAGGCTGTATCCTATTTTAAGGGCCAACGAATGGCACATATGAACCTCTTCTTCAGTTTCCTTCTAAAGTGACTGGTGATTATATTATAATGTAATGTCATGGAAGAAGTATGGGAAGCTGCAACATTATACAAATATACTATTTTAAAAGAAGTATCCAATGTCAGGATCACACTTTGTTTTACTGTTGGTTGGATTATTCTAGAAATCAATGACCTTTGAGGATATGCACATTGACTTCACTGAGGATGAGTGGGTTTTGATGAATCCTTCCCAAAAGAGTCTCTACAAAGATGTGATGCTGGAGACATACAGGAACCTCACTGCTACTGGTAGGACCATGAACTTTTCCTTTACATTTTAAAATAAGGGGACTACTCTGTATCATTCATTGATACTTTTGGTATATCTGTTTGAAAAAGAGTAAGAGTGAGCCAAATAATTAAGGCACAGGTTACTTAAGATATTCAATTTTGTATATATTGATTAATATATTATTTACTTTTTGTTACTGTATTAGGCTACAGTTGGAAAGAGCATAATTTTGAAGAGTATTATCAAAGTGCTAAAAAACATGGAAGGTAATTTTTATTT